GACACCATTGGTCTAAGGCCTGGTTGCCCAGTGCGGATAGCTGTAATTCTTATCAGAATTGTCTAAGGCCTGTGCGGTCAGAGAAGTCACCTGAGGATAATTTTGGTGTCGGGAGACAGCTGGTTAACTTAAGTCAGGTGCGTAGGGGAATTTCTACCACACTACACATGTGGCAAAGCTGGTGACATTGCGAGACTTTGCCCAGAGAATAGAGACCTAATCAAGGCTTTGTCTGGCATGCAGGCCCGGATTGGCTAATCGGGAGCACCGGGAAAATTATTATTCCTATTATTAAGGCAGGAAAACATTTAATCTACCTCAGGGGAGACGTCTTTCACTATTGTAAGTTAAGGCTGTTAAATAGAGAGGAAAATATATTTGACAAAATTTAACTTCTAGCGCATTCTTAAACTTGGACATCATTTTATTGAAGTAGAAATCCAAGCACCAGAAGCAGCCCACACTCAGCCCACAAGTTTTCTTTAATTGAAAAATATGCATTTTCATTCATAGGCTATATGGTTGCAATAATAGATATTTTAGTTTAAACAATTTAAGTGCATAGACGTTTCATAAACGTTCAGTTGTTATGCTTTCAAATTTCTTGCCATTTGTATGTATGTAATTTCACAGTATTTTCACCTCCTAAATTACTACACTACTTGTGCAGTCACGATTTTATAATGGTACAATTTACTCAGGCCGATTACTTTTTTTTTGTATGACATTAAAATTCTATTTAGAATATAGGTTAAGCAAAACAAATGTGATTATTTCTGAGAACTTTTTAACTGCAGGCAGACATTATGGTACATAGGCCTACATATATTTTGTTGGAGATATGCGAGCAAAAAATTATAGATTAATTAAATGTATAATAGAAAGCGCAAAGGCGGCGCTGAAAAGGCCAGTAAAATAATAATAAAAAAAAAAAAACAAAGCTGTAGAAAAATATAATGAATTACAAGTCTGTAGAGAACAGTGCGCTATTGCAGACTTATATAGGCTACTGACGTCTTAATTACATTATTGTAATAGCTATAGTCAGTCGTGAACTAAAGTGGGCCGCTCTTGAAACATAAAACTCCAGGGCTGAAAATGACTCCCACTCCGGCCCTGCTGGCATGCATGTGCAAAGGATGGTCACATTGCAAGACGTTGTTTGGAGAAAAGAAGAAAAGATCAGGAGGTTGTTTGTTTTGCACGTAGAAGGATGAGACACAGGGCAAGTATCACTTTTCACACAAAAGAAAGATCCTGATCCTATCCTGATTTACTTAAGAAAATAGTCAGTTTAGAAACCCAGTTGCCTCTGTTGAAAGGCAAAAAGAAAGAAGCCATTCACACCTTCCCAGACACATCATTGCATGAACAACATGACTGTAGCTCAGTCTCAAGATGCTGATGTGAATTAAAATTGTTTTATGATTGTAGCCACATATTTAAACTATCAAAAGATCTACCTGTAGGTAGCGTATTCATTCTGATGTAAAATTAACGGTCGCCTAAGTGCGCTCTACGATCATTATCTTATTTGAGCTCAAAATGCTGCTTGGGAGAGTGTCAAAGATACTAAAAATAATAAATACATAAAATTATGAACGTGTTAATGTGTGTTTATTTTTGTTCTCAGTATTTTAATAGTATTTAATGATTATGAACATATAAAAAGCAAAACAAATTAATAATATAGCTACCATCGATGAAACCACAAAGCTGACGAGGAGGTATAATTACAATATAAAGTCATTTTGAGTGTTATTGCTATTAATATTATTTTCTAAAATAAGGTAGGCTACATCATGTAATATAAAAGTACATATGTGACGATATAAGTTTATGCTAGAAATGTTTTGGAATGGGATATTTGTCTGATTTGTACATATAAATATCCTAGTCTGTCTAACTGCATCACTACATTGTATAGGCATTACAGGTCAAAGCCATCCGATGTTCTATTAATCTAAATAAATAGGCCTAACATACTGTATGTGGCTCTTTTTAGAAGACTTGGATTAAACCAATTTCAAAGCTTGAAATAATGATTGCCTTGAAAAAATGGATGGACAAAAAATTTTTTATATTAAAATATCTATATGGCAGTATACAGTATGTGGTACTTTTGCCAGCTAGTCGTCATGAAATCAAAAATGACCCTACTTACTTTTTTAGTGCACATTACTAGTCTTGTGGCGAACAATTGAACCATGCAAGTCGATACACTGGAAAAAAAATTGTCTGCCGTCGCTTCCGCTCTGGAATGGCGTTCTCGCTCTGATGACGTCAGTTTGACGGCTTGGGGTGTATCCTCATGTTATGTTATGATGACATAAGGACTGCTGTCTCCAGGTGTATTACATGACATTGTGAGTGTGCATATGACCAGTTTGTTGTTTTTTGGGGGGCATCTGGCAGAGTGTTAGGACCCAGAAGCAGTGAAGCGTGATGTCAGAAGCAACAAGCAGATATTCTTAACCACTCCTATCCAACCGTGAATCTGCTATGAGCAAGGGGTGGAGTGGAGGTGCACCACAATAAAACCCCGCCCTTTATTCAACATTCCGTAACTCTCTCTTTTCTAGCACTTTAGATACGGTTGCTCCTTTACGCTTAAAGAAGATTACAAAGAAAACAGTCTGACGCTGTTGTATAACGAGCACACTGGTATGTGGGGGCGTGTTAGAACGAGCCGTTTTAGGTAGGTGTGGCTGACTCTTAACTTTTATAAAGAATATCTCTTTGGATTTGAGACTTTAGTCTTTGCAACTTTACAGATCTTCTTTATGCACCAAGAGCTTGTAACACTTCAAAAAGAAAGGAAAAATTGAAATCGCATCATATGACCCCTTTAAAGAGAGCAGCCTGAAAATGGAGCACAGCTGGAAGAAAACAAGAGGTATTTCGTATTGCATGGCGGAAAAGTACTTCTACTTTTAGAAAAGCTCTAAAAACTGCTAGATCTGCTTACTTTTCATCTCTCTTAGAAGAAAACCAACATAACCCCATGCATTTATTCAATGCAAAGGCTAAATTAACGAAAAATAAAGCATCAACAGACAGACATTCACCAGCAGCACAGTAGTAATGACTTTATGAACTTCTTCCAAGATCGATATTTTTAGAAACAAAATTCGAACCATGCAGCTGTCAGCTACAGTATCGCACCAGATAGCGCACTATAGATCCCCTGAGGAAAAAGTCCACTCATTCTCTGTTATAGGAGAGGAAGAATTGTATAAACTTGTCAAATCAACAAAACCTACAACATGTATGTTAGAACCTATTCCATCTAAGCTACTAAAAGAGGTACTTCCAGAAGTCATAGATCCTCTTCTGAATATTATTAATTTGTCAGTGTCATTAGGATATGTCCCAAAATCCTTCAAACTGGTCGTTATTAAGGCTCTCATTAAAAAAGCAAAAACTGATCCTAGAGAGTTACAGACAGATCTCAAATCTCCCTTTCTCTCAGCTTTGTTCCTTCTAAGAGAGAAATGGTATTTGTGAGGATTTCCAGTCAGGATTTAGAGCAGTGGATCTCAACCTTTTTGGGGCCAGCGCCCCCTTCCCATTATCCAGGTCCCTCACCGCCTGCAATCAAATAAAAAGTAGTCTAACTGATTATTAAAGTTGATTATTATTTTGTGTTTATAATGAGGACTGTTATTATATTTAAAGTACCATTCAAATGTATGGGGTCATTACAATTTCAAAAATTACTTTAATTCAAGGATCCATTAAATTGATAAAAATAAGACAGTGAAGTACTTTTTTACAGTGAAATTATTTGAAAATAAGTGTAATAACATTTATTTACAGCGTTTTTACGCATGTTGGTGATTTTCATTGCTACAGCTTTGGTGATGTTGAGATCTGATATACCTCATTGCCCCAAATTTAAAGAGACTTGATACAAATTCCTGTTTAGAATATATCCACAGGCAATTTTCATTTCAAAAAGAGATTTTAGTTTGTTCTTCCGTACATGGAACCCTTGAACACCCTTTTTACTGCTGTGATATGTTTGGATGTTTTCAATCAGCTTTCAATCAAAAATAAAAAATAATATTTTTAGAAAATACCGTTATAAAATCATTTTTTCTGACATGGTGATTTTGGTACACATGCAAATGGCAGAAATGTAAACCCTCATTTACTGTATTTCATGAGAATATTTCAAAGTTTGCTTACAAATACTTCAAAGAAATCCTTGTCATTGTAAGGTGAAGTGAAGTGACGTGGATTGTGGACAAGTATGGTGATCCATACTCAGAATTTGTGCTCTGCATTTAACCCATTCAAGTGCACATTGCTGCGGCGCCCAGGAGCAGTTGGGGGTTTGGTGCCTGAGACCCCTTCAAGGGTCTCACCTCAGTCGTGGTACTAAGGATAGAAGAGAGTGCTGGTTATTCACTCCACTATTCACGCACACACCGACAATTCCTGCCGGACCTGAGATTCAAACCCATAACCTTCGGGTTAAAAGTCCAACTCTCTAACCATTAGGCCACAATAGTCCTGCTTTTTTTGTCAGTTTTGTCCTGGGAGGGGCAGTGTCGCCGTGGGGCGAGTTAAGTGGTTTTATATTTTCATTTTAAATTGATGTATTTAATAAAGTTGTGTTTCTGGTAAAACTAGAGGGTGACAGTGAGGGTGGGTAAGACTGAAACTGGGAGGGTTTAGGGGGCAGGTATAATTTTGCACGTGCATGAGACGCGTTTTACATGAGTTTGAAGTGTCACTGTTTGTATTTGATCTTATGGATTGTCACCAATGAAGTGAGTGAATTTATGTAGCACACTGCCCTAGGGCTTTCTAGGTTGTGTTTAGCCTGTCCTGCAGTCCCCTCTCCTAATAAAATTACCTGTTGTGATTGAAGTTGTGGTGGCGTGTTGTCTTCTGGTGCCAGACCACACTGGCTTAAAGAATTAAAGGTGGTGGCAGCGGCTTAAGTATAGAATTATTACACTGGTGGCAGCGGTAGGATCTTAGGGCCCATTATGTTAGATCCAGAAGAAGATAACACACCAGCTGCTTCTGTAGATGATAGGGTGTTGACGGGACAAGGCTTAGCATCTGGGATGGTGACAGCACGACCTGTTTTTATGCCAGATACTTTTACAGGAGCTAATCGTGAGTGGTCAGATTGGATAGGACAATTTGAAATGGCAGCTGAAGTAAATGGCTGGGACGACAGCTTGAAATTGAAGTTCCTCTCCTTATTGTTATCTGGTAGGGCTCGGGACATTTATTGTGGATTATCCACTGAGTCTCGAAGTAGATATGTAATATTAAAAGCATCTTTAGGGAGGTGCTTGGAGCCATGTGATAGTGATGATTGGAACCGTGCCAGTTTTTTAGCTCGTCGGCGGCTGCATAATGAGACCGCTAGGGAATTTGGGAATGCTTTGCGTCGTTTGATTACTAAAGCTTATCCCTCTGCTGATAATAATAACCGTGATCTTTTTGCTCGTGATCATTTTATAGAACATGTGGGGAGTGGGGATTTGCGTGTCCAACGTCGCAGCGCAAAACCATCTACCTTATAAGAGGCTGTTAACTTGGCTTCTGAATTGGAGTTAATTCGAAGTTTGGAGCGAAACTGTTCTGTTGCAGATACTAAAGTGTGGGTGGTGTCCGAAAGTGTACCAGATAACAAACAAATGGACACACTTTTGGGAGTGGTAGAAGGGTTGAGACAGGAAGTGAGAACTTTGCAGCATACAGTTCAGTCACTACCGGCTTGTGCTGAGATCCCACCACCTGGGAGATGAAATGTATCCTTTGAGACTCGGGGACAGATGGGGTGGGCCATGGACCGGTCATCTCGTGATCGAGAGGCCTGCTGGGAGTGTGGGTGTAACCAACATTTACGTCGCAATTGTCCCTATTTGCAGGGAAACTAGAGGGGGTGGGCACAGAGGGCCAAATGCCTGCCCCCTCATTAGTGAAGCCCACAAGATTGGCCCTGTGTAACCAACCCAGCTCTGGAGTGTACCTCAATGCTAAAATAGGTGGGTCTGATGTGCATTTGTTATTGGATACGGGTGTGCAGGCATCAATTATCCCTAAACATGTGTGGTTACGGTTAACAGAAGGGGGGTGTCCATTGTTTGATTATGTGGGGGAAGCCTCTGCAGCTAATGGGGGTACTATGTACATTTTAGGCCATTGGCAAACTATTTGTCAGTTTGGTTCCTTGGCGTTAATAAATGAGTTTTTGGTAGCTGATATATCTACCCCTGATATTTTGTTGGGGATGGATTTTCTGCTGAAGTATGGGGTAATTATTGATTTGAGGGAGCAGTGTTGTTCAGTCATGGGTAAGCAATTTCCCTTAATTAGCACTGGGGATGCCTGTCAGCCTAAGACTGTAACTGTACAAACAGACTCCATAGTACAGCCACGTAGTGAAGCTATTATTTCTGGGGTAGTAGAGGGCTCCTTGCAGGACAGATAGCTGGAATGTTAGAACCCTCCTCCTCCTTATCAAAACACTGTGATATTTTAGTGGCTCGAGTTGTTTGTAATGTGGGGCAGGGGGTAGTTCCTGTTAGAGTGATTAATGTAACTGATAATCCTTTCACTCTTAGGCAGGGGATGAAGATTGGGACCTTGTCTACCGATGTGGTGGTTGGGCCTGAAGCAGTGGCTCTTAGTAAGCAGGATGAGTTGGAGGTGCCCGGAGGGTGGTCTGTGGATACTCTTTTAATGCAGCTGGGGTTAGATCAAAAGGGGCTGTCTATGGGTGAAACGCAGGCCATCCGTGAGTTGTTGGCACAGTATGCTTCAGTGTTTAGCACTGGGGATAATGATTTAGGGCGAACCCACCTGACTTTGCATCAGATTAATACAGGGGATGCAAAGCCAATTAAGATACCCCCACGGCGGGGCCCGTTGCATTTGCAAAAAGAGGTACATGATCACATTAAGCAGATGCAAGATAATGGGATTATACAGCCATCATGTAGTCCATGGGCTGCTCCCGTTGTCCCAGTAAGAAAAAAGGATGGTAGTCTGCGCTTTTGCGTAGACTACCGCAAGCTGAATGACGTTACAGTTAAGGATGCATATCCCCTTCCCCGAATAGATGATGCTCTGGATAGCTTGACTAATGCGAAGTTATTTTCCACCCTGGATCTTGCAAGTGGTTACTGGCAGGTCGAGATAGATGCTCAAGATAAGTGCAAGACTGCTTTTACTACAAGACATGGGTTATTTGAATTTAATGTCTTAAGTTTTGGCCTTTGCAACTCACCGAGTACATTTCAGCATTTAATGGATCTGGTTTTAGCTGATTTGCAATGGACTACTTGTTTAGTTTATTTGGACGACAATATAGTGTTTGGTCGGTCATTTCAGGAGCATTTATCTAGATTGGGAGAAGTACTGGCTAAGTTGAAGGCTGCAAATCTGAAGGTAAAACCTTCCAAGTGTGACTTATTTTCCTCCCGTGTCAAGTATTTAGGGCATATCATTTCTGCCGAGGGGATTATGGCTGACCCTGTGAAGGTGGAAGCAGTGAGGGAATGGCCCACCCCTAAGACTCAGACTGAAGTGAGGAGTTTTTTAGGGTTGGCCTCTTATTATAGACGGTTTGTAAGGGGGTTCGCGGATATAGCACGTCCATTACATCAACTGACTGAGAAGGGGAGGAGATTTAGGTGGGGCGAGGAGTGTCAGGTAGCTTTCAATCAGTTGAAGGCTAGTTTAATTACTGCCCCTGTGCTTGCTTACCCTGACCCCACTAAAACCTTCATATTGGACACAGATGCTAGTGATGCTGGGGGTAGGGGCTGTGCTTTCTCAAGAGGATGGTGGGTTTGAGCATGTCAGTGTTTGGAATATCGTACTGACAACTAATTAATGAGACTGAACACCATACTGACAACTAATTAATGAGACTGATTGGGGAAGGAGGAACACCAGGGTGTGATCTGTGTATTCAGAGACTGGGGTTTTATTGGCCAGGGTGGTTTGCAGATGTAAGACAGTGGTGTAGGCAATGTGTAGACTGTGCTTCTCGAAAGATGCATAGAAAGCCCCCTTGTGCCCCAATGAATCCTTCAGTGACCTATTGTCCTCACGAACGTATTGCTTTGGATATTTTGGGGCCTCTACCTGAGACGTCTAAAAAGCATAGGTACATCCTTGTTGTGAGTGATTACTTTTCTAAATGGACTGAGGCATTTCCCCTTCCCAACCAGGAGGCACAGACAGTTGCTTGTGTCCTGGTTGAGGAGTGGATATGTCGTTTTGGCACTCCCCGTAGTATTCATTCTGATCAGGGGCGCAATTTTGAGTCTACCCTGTTTAAAGAATTGTGCCGATTGTTGGATATGAGCAAGACGCGTAGCTCCCCATATCACCCACAATCTAATGGTTTAGTAGAGCGATTTAACCGTACTTTACTGTCGATGTTGAGTCTGTTTGTTAATGAGAATCAAACTAACTGGGACCATCTATTGCCATATGTTATGATGGTGTATCGAAGTAGTGTCCATGCCAGTACAGGGTTTAAACCTTATGGATGTCGTTCGCGGTCGTTTAGGGCCGCCGGCGATTAAGCTAGATAGATAGCGGGGACGGGGTGAGAGTAAGTAGGGACGGGGAGTTAGGAGTGCCGTCGTTCTTTATTGTGTGTGCCATTTAACTGCTGAGCTGTTAGAGCGTGCCAGCGTATGGGTCGTGCCCGTTCTGAACAGGCTTCTATTGCTGTCTTCTCTTTCTGTGGCTGAGACTGTCGTGTGCAGAAGTCCTTGTGAGCGTTGAACTTACGACACGCGGCTCGCATTTCCCATTACAGAACGGTGTGCAACAAGCGGTGTTCCACGGACTGAACCAGCTCCTTAAATCCAACCCCCCACCCCACCCCGGGAGGGGCAGTGTCGCCGTGGGCGAGTTAAGTGGTTTTATATTTTCATTTTAAATTGATGTATTTAATAAAGTCGTGTTTCTGGTAAAACTGGAGGGGGACAGTGAGGGTGGGTAAGACTGAAACTGGGAGGGTTTAGGGGGCAGGTATAATTTTGCACGTGCATGAGACGCGTTTTACATGAGTTTGAAGTGTCACTGTTTGTATTTGATCTTATGGATTGTCACCGAGCGCGAGCGCTTCAGTAAATGGAGGCCGCGACAAATGCTCTCCGAGTCCGAAAGCGAGCAGCATCTGCCTGCAAAACCGGAGGCTGCATTTTCAGGACCGCATTTCTAGGACCTTAGGTTTTTAGTGACAATGCCACCTACCGAATTAGAGGACCAGCGAAGATGGATGACAATCAGAGTGTGTGAGTATCAAATGTGAATCAATTTGTATTTGTTTAACATTAAAAACAATTGTGATGCATTTCATTGGAAAGTTAACGTAGCCGAAGTGATCGTGATTTGCTAAATAGTCTTGAATGCATATAGCCATCATATATAGCCCATGACTCTTCCATAACTTCAAGTGGTGTTACTCTTTGAATATCTGAAAAGTGATTTCACATACACATATCAGTGAGGATGAAAAACTTTTTAGTTGGATAAACAAAGGTTGTCGTTTTACAATCTGTTCAATTCTGCCTCTTTCCATTTCAGGTGGTTGGGCTGTGATTATGTGCCCGTGTGGCATTGTATACAGTATAAAGTGCAACATTAGAGCTGAAAGCCCACATGACTTCACAGACATGCTCCTTTCTTGGAAATACATGCCACATATTGTAATATATGACTTCGCACGTGGACTAGCAACCAGTGTTGGGGAAAGTTACAGTAACTCGGATATTCTCTTGTAAATTAAAAAGTAATGCGTTACTTTACTAGTTACTTGAAAAAGTAATCTGATTACGTAACTTGCGTTACTTGTAATATATTACCCCCAACACTGCTAGCAACACACATGAATCTGAGGAACCAGAAAGGTTGCCCTTCAAACCATTTGAAGGACGGTTAAAGGCCCCAACTCCAGAAAACATAGCACTAGCCAAAGATGGGAAACTAAAGGTGTCACTTCCTTGGTTGAATTGCAAGAAAGTGGTCCCAGACTGTGATGGCCATCCCATAACTGGTTCAGCAGAGCATTATGCTCTGTATGATCGTTTCCATGAAGATAACACAAAGGATGCCCATGATGCCCTGCGGAAGTTTGGCCTGGTCCCGCAACTTGCTGGAATAGTCAACAGCCAAGTAGCAGAACAGCTGTTTGCATAAATGAAAACAACAATTACTTCTTAAACATGGCTTTACCATCAACTCATCTGTTTCTCGTGAGGAATATCATTCACCACTACAGTTGTCACAAAAACAAACAACGATTGGGCGACATAAAAAAGGCTTTCGATACCAAGATAGCTATGAATATCCACAGCCAGGCAGTGTTGGGTAACTTTTCAAATTTGATATGCAAATCTATCACAAATACAGCATATTATTATTCACTGTTTTGTATAGTTGAAATATTTATTTATATTTTTTAGAAATGACAGTATTCATTAAGACACCTTCCACTGCTCAACCTGGTACATTGGACATTCTTAGACTTGCACTAACACATATGACTATTAATGAATTAATATATTGTGATTTTCTACATTTGATTCAACAGAAGCCGTGGCCCCGACAGCGGCCCTCGGCAAGCCCCCGACAGCAGCCATTGACTACTCTTTGACATTTAAGCCCTTTGCAAAAGAATTGAATCCTATCCAGGACAAACTGGTAAGTTAATTAGTACAAATAGTAATTGTTTTTCATGTCACACACTATTATTAATAATAATATCTGTTATTTGCAGCTCAATTATGTGCTGGACACAGGACGGCCTGCAGCGGAAATTATTGTGAAAGAAGGGCCCTTATGTATCACACGTGAAGAATTCTGGAGCCTGGGGTTGTTAAGAGACCTGGATTCTCATGTGAGTACTGGGGAGTTAATAAAAACAAGGAAGGGAAACAGCATTTTTATTTGCTTTTATGCTTGATCACTGATGAGTTTTGATTGTTTCTTGCAGATTGGGAATGCCTGCTTTAAATTGATTCATGAAGCAGATCAGCAACATGTATGTAACTTTTATCTGAGACTAAAGCCTAAATTTGTGCTGTTAATTTATTCTGTTATTTTATTGTCTACTTTCAAAGTTGCTGTTTTTTTCTTCATAGGGCAAAGACATTTATATAGAGGACATGTTCGTTGTTCCTACATGGAAGGATACACAAAGCAACATCACTGCCAACTTTCCAGTGAGTGAATATAAAATATGTATGGTGTCACAAAAATGTAGAACTGCATAATGACAACATTTTTCATTAATGTTAGGAGGATGTCGACATGAAAGACGTCTTAGTCTTTCCAGGTTGGACCGACGCAAGCGGGCCAGAACACTTCGTTCTCTGTGTAAGGGAATGTTACTGTTACTAGATACTACATAGTGCATGTAGTGGTAATTAAGTTGGTTAGTTCATGTGTATTCCAACAAAGTGAACTGCAGCTCTCATGTGCATGTCTTTACCCATTATCACATTATAGATCATGAAGCCACTCCTGAGAGAGATCCTCTTTTTAGACTTGCAGTACACATTGCATGAGTCTGGGTTTGGTGATGCTGAGTACAGAGCCATTTTTAGGGCCACATTTGAGGCATACTCTTTGCCATGTTCATATAGCAGTTTACATTTCGGCTACGTTCCTATAGCCTGTACTGATATGTTTCGGCTAAGTTCCTATAGCCTAATGTCTCAGTGGTTGTCACATCTGTCTGTTTCAAATTATTTGTAATTTTTTTATTGTATAGAGATCTTGCTCAGAAAATTGATCCTGGGAGCTGGACTGAGAAGACTGGGCATGATATTGTGGTGAATAATATATTGCATAATTAGATATTCCATTGAAATATGATTGCGTAATCTGTAAATCTGTAATCTGCATTTCATATACAAGACATGTGACAGAGAAGACAGCAGCTTTGATCTATCAATCATGTTTCATGTATCACTAATCTTACCTTATTTTTTTGTTGATTATAGGGCTTGCCATGCCAGATCTGTGGAAATGACTGTAGGATTTTTATGCTTATGGTAAAGTGTCCCTTTTTTTGTGTGGAAACCATTTGCATGTTTCTGTCAGCATAGTAAATCAAATGTTTTGCTTCTTCTCTGTTTTAGTATACACTTTCCATTGTGACAAGCACAGGGTTTCAATTCCAGGAGGTGAGTTGATTCAAAAATGTATATAAGGATGAAATTGATACTTTAAATGTTTATTTTTCTCTATCTTGAAGGAAAGAGATACATTAAAAACTAAAGACTCTCCTTATCATTGTCACATTTCTTTCAGATGGACATGCCTTTGATTCGGAAGTGGTGGTGTCTTCTTCTAATAGAGCGTTTTAAAATTGATGGGTATGACAGCCCTAAACAATAAACAATATGTGTATATTCACCTGTTGACTACATTAACTTAATGTTATAAGTAGACACCAATAATTGTTTTATGCAATACTTTAGATTAATCTTGTTGTTAATGTTTAAAAAGGTATGGCCAGAGGTTTGCCTTCTGGACTGATGAGGCCAGAAGCTTGTTACAGGGAACCCTTCAGCCAATATTCAGAGTGCCAAGAAAGCGTGCCATCACTGAGGATGTGAGGAAATTCCAGCCCACATGCAGGCTGTCTTTGACCGCACTGCAGAGGAAAAGAGACTGGTGAACTTCATTGTACAGTCACCGGGAGCTGAACAGCATTTGGTGGTACTTAGTCATATTCATCATTACAGACTCACAGTAAATAAATCAACCAGGGCTTTTGTTAAAAATATTGTCAACTATGCGGCCCATTTAATGGCAGTCAGAGGCCAATAAAAATCCTGTCTGTGATTGGTCGCCTACCTGCCTCCCTAAATACATACCTGCCTACCTGCACACAATCTGCCCATGCACTCATTGATCTTCAGCGGAGTACTCCAGCAGTACTCAGCAGTACTCAGGCAGTGCATGTTCATTTGTTTTGGAGGTTTGGCTTTGAAATAAGCCCTAAATGTAGGGGGTGGAATATTTTCGGTTGATTGCTTTCAAAATCTACCTTAGTCTTGCTCGTTTCTCCAATTCTGCATATTCTAGCTTTAAAGTCAGTTGTTCCTTCACTAACAACTATCACACAATACACTTAAAAATCCTATTACCACAAAATAATTGTAATAATTGTGGCAAAATAATTTGCCCGTAGGACGTACTCAACGGGAAGACTTCAAAGTGGTATCCTCCGAAGTCCTTTCGCCAGGTGCCTGTCTACCGTGACAGTGAAGAACAGCAGGACAACCTTTTTGCTTTTCTGAAGTCAGTACTACATAAAACACCTACGCAACTGAGCTTCACGGATGAAGTGCAGTTAATCTGTGGTGTTCTATTTCCAATAAAAAATATAATGTATTGTGCATGTTTCTGCCCTTTCAAACCCTACTGTATATTATACCGTATGCTACTTATGTACAGACCTGTGTATATTTCAATTAACAATTTTCTTTTGATAGGCCATCATATATGGCCTGGCTGGGCTTCAGAATTTGTCTCTGCAGGATGCTGAGCAGGCCTTCCTCTCTGGTCCGGATTATCATCACAGGTAAGAGTAGAACATTTAATTGTTTTTACACAATGTCCAATGTATCCTTTTTTTTTAAGCTTTAACAGTATTTCTGTTAACCCAGCAGTGATTATGTTCTCCATTTACTATTTCAGTGAAGTGGAAGAATAAGAATTTAATAGGGTGATAGAGAAACAATTGAGAAAAGAGGGGAGAGCATCCAGGTGGTAGGTAGTGCTGCTGCATACATCACAATGTGTGCTTTAAATATTTAAAGGTCAGGAAAAGTCATGTCAATAATATGTTATTTCTATTCAGATTTCTTGCATCTCTCTCTGTTATTTTTTTTCTCAGTTCAGATGGGCTTTATTGACATGAATGTTTCAAGACCATTTGTTCCCACAACATCAAAATAAAATTTTTCCAAATCTTTGAACAGTATGCAATAACCGTATTATGAACATTAATTGGTATGAAGATTGATATAATTATTTCTGTATCGTATATCTGTGTGCGCTCTGTGGTCACTAAGATCTTTTAAATATGACATTTAAAATTAGAGAGTTGAACATGTTCAACTAAATGTTCCTTATTTCATTCACTTCTCTCTCTTTCGCTCTCTTATGAGTCAGTGAAGACGTTGTCCATGAAGTTCTTTCTATGTGGTTCACCTCATGAACAAATTTGTTTTTGTGTGTTCAAGTTCAACTGTTGTAATATATTATTTTATAAAATATACACAATCTTAAATCTACCCCCAGAGTCATCCTTGTGTCTTCCCTCTGTACTTGAAAATGTGGTTGATCTAGTGACTGAAAAGACTATACCGTGATTGCTTGTTTATTTTACTTGAGTTATTATATTATGCTACTTAGACCCAATAATTACTCAACATTCCTAGGAACCAGGTTTAACTGCAATAAAGAAAGTAGTATTTGGGTGTAATAAACCTTTAAAAACCACTAAAACTCTTAAGTGGTTAAAACTAGGTGGAAATACTGCCTTGGTGGCACTTTTTTCGGTCCTCCAAAACTAGGGTCCTGGAAATGCGTTCCTGGGACTGCGGTTCTCCGACTCGGTAGGTGGCGCTGTCACAAAAAACTAGAGTCCTAGAAATGCGGTCCTGGCCGAAAGCACCCGTTGAGAAGCACTAGTCTAGAACATGGAACCACAGCGACATCTGGTGTCTCAGTGAAACATCAAAATATTACATTATTGTTCCAAAGATCATACAGTTTTGCCATGTCTGCGTTGTTAAGCGGTGAGCAGTTGAATCAGAATATGGCTTAGCAACGTACTGTCTGCCAGAATCGTTTGGTGGTTAGCTAGATATGAGATACGAGGCAGTATACTAGGTGCCTCGATCTCTGCTTACCGTACGGAAAAAACCCCACAAATGGTCTGGAATAATGTCCCAATACACACATTTACATGCACGACAACTAACGCGCTCGCTGTTGATCTGTTGTTATAAAAGCGCTTGAATAGACTATATGGAGTTACAATATTTCAGTTTTCATCTTGAATATTTAAAGCAGCGTTGATGTCAAGTGAGTTCATCATCAGCGACATGAGCCCAGACTTGGTACTGAAGGTGCTTTCCTCTTTAGATCAAGTGACTAAACTTCAGCCTTTTCCATTCTTTACACTACACAAGAACCTGCATCCACTCTTTGTCAGGCATTGGGGTTTTCTCTGCACTGTACAAAAAACCTTTGAGTGACCAATCAATTGAATGCATGTCACTGATGGATTGTAGGGGTCAAGCTCTATTCAAGCAGAGATTGTCCAGCTGAGTGACTCATGTTATTCAGGTGGCCTGTCCATGAAGCATTGTCTCAGTGAAACATCAAAATATTACATTATTGTTCCAAAGATCATACAGTTTTGCCATGTCTGCGTTGTTAAGCGGTGAGCAGTTGAATCAGAATATGGCTTAGCAACGTACTGTCTGCCAGAATCGTTTGGTGGTTAGCTAGATATGAGATACGAGGCAGTATACTAGGTGCCTCGATCTCTGCTTACCGTACGGAAAAAACCCCACAAATGGTCTGGAATAATGTCCCAATACACACATTTACATGCACGACAACTAACGCGCTCGCTGTTGATCTGTTGTTATAAAAGCGCTTGAATAGACTATATGGAGTTACAATATTTCAGTTTTCATCTTGAATATTTAAAGCAGCGTTGATGTCAAGTGAGTTCATCATCAGCGACATGAGCCCAGACTTGGTACTGAAGGTGCTTTCCTCTTTAGATCAAGTGACTAAACTTCAGCCTTTTCCATTCTTTACACTACACAAGAACCTGCATCCACTCTTTGTCAGGCATTGGGGTTTTCTCTGCACTGTACAAAAAACCTTTGAGTGACCAATCAATTGAATGCATGTCACTGATGGATTGTAGGGGTCAAGCTCTATTCAAGCAGAGATTGTCCAGCTGAGTGACTCATGTTATTCAGGTGGCCTGTCCATGAAGCATTTCATTCATCCAGGTCATTGTAGTAGGCTAGAATTTAGTTGAAACACTTTTTCTTTTAAAGCAAACAGTTGTCAAAGGATGTTTATCAATGCTTTGGTCTACAACAGGGGTCACCAAACTCGGTCCTGGAGGGCCGGTGTCCTGCAGAGTTTAGCTCCAATTTGCCTTAACACACCTGCCTAGTTTCAAGTATACTTAGGGTGTATTCACACCAGGAAAGTCCGCTAGTTCACTTGCTTTGGTCGAGACCAAATACAAATAAATATGTTGATAAGGTCATCCATTCACTGGTTCATCCATTCAACCGTACCAGAGTTCATTTGGAAGCCTCTTCAGCTGGGTCTCGGTACGGTTGTTTGGTCCGCACCCGAGTTCGATTGCTGTATTCACACCTGCCCAAAAGATCCGCACCAAAGGGGGAAACGAACTTGAGTTCGATTCAATCGAACCAAACAAGACAGGTGTGAATAGCCTACACCCTTAGTAAGAGCTTGATTAGCTGGTTCAGGTGTGTTTGATTAAGATTGGAACTAAACTCTGCAGGACACTGGCCCTCCAGAACCGAGTTTGGTGAGCCCTGGTCTATAAAGTGGATTGGGTTCGGAATAGAATATTAATATACTTCTCTTATTTTCCAGTATGTATGTGTACAGCATGTATACAGTATTGTTTGGTACAGCATTTGTTATAATATGCATTATACAATGTACACAGCAGAACTGTACAAAATACTGTATCCTACAATGCAATATTAACTTGACTGTTCATTTCTATGAAAAATAAGCCATTACAGGCA